AATGTTTCTATTGTGAATAAAATCCCGACTACAGCCTTGGTTGGACTTGTTTGTATACTTGAATTCATCAGATCGCTGGCATGGTTTGTTCTGTAGCTTCCCTTCTCTCTGAGAGTGACAATTTGGGACCCATCATGCGCACAAAATACACACGTCGTAGTATCTGAAAGCATATTTTAAATTTACATATCTGTATACATTATTCTTTTGTATATGCATTATTTTGCTGTTACAATAGTATTATGTAGTGCAAAATATGAATATATATAGTTTATGAAATATTTATTTTAATGTATATGTTTGTGCATTGATTTTCTTAGTATTCAGACCATTTTCGGCACATTATCGTAACATGATGAATTAATGTATAAACCATCATTTGTTAAGACAAAATATACTTGACTTTGCCATGTTGATATCTACTTGTAGATGCCGGAATCAGAAATGCACAACAGGTTTCTGAAAAAAATGAAATATTCAGTGTAAAATGTGTATTTATTTCAGCGTACCTTAAATAGCCTATGTTATTTCCCTTCGATTAACACACAATGAACCTTTGTATGAAAACTTAATGGCAAGCATGTGTATATTAAATTATTTACAGAGAAATTGTCATGAGTTTTTATAAATTAATTTACCGTAGTCAGTATAAACATACCGAAATACAACGCCCTTCATATCGTTGTTCGTTCCATCAGCATGGTTTGGTAATGTCGCTTATATTATCTAGAGAAATAAAAGACATATTCTGTGAGAAATCATGTATGAATTTAGCGATATATTTATATCAGCATATTAACTTTGTATTTAAAAGAAACAAGTATATTTTGCATGAACCGATACGCGAAATGACATAATCGTTCATTTTACTTTTCCACTTTGGTTGCTAAAGCGTGACACCATTTGGCCAATGGTAAACGACGATGCGAATATTTGGCATTACTTTCCGTAGGTGTTAAATGAAGGCAATAACAAAAAAATATCCGTACTATGTTATACTTTGCATTTTTAAAATATTAAATCAGTAAGTTATACAATCACAACAGACCGAGGAAGGTGAACATATAATGAATGTATTGTATGTTCCGGGTAATCATGTAGTATGAAAGCTCGGGAGCGATTTTACAAATTTTGCTACTGGTGTGGTTCATTTCAAATAAAAGCATATTAAAAAAGAACAAGTTTAAACAAACATCGTACATATGTTATAGATAGAAATTGTGCATAGATAATATCACCTTGATACAAGAGAGAGCTGAACATTAGATAATCATCATGTGAGCGTTGGTGTGTAAATCATGAATGTCCTGTCAATGTCTGAAATTAAGTATTTATTTATTTATGTACATTTACATGTTTAGTTATGCAAAAATTATAAATCTACATATAAATTTATACATAAATCTGAATATTGTTATATATACAATAAAAATACCTTGTAATAATAAAAAAAATGCATATTCACGACGTAAATTATGTCCCGTTTTTAACCAGGTTTTCCGAAGGAAAAAACTGGTTATTAGATTGAGGTATGTCGGCGGGCGGGCGGGCGGATGGGCGGACGGGCGGCGGGCGGCGTAAACAATTTCTTCTGTGCGCAACTCCTCCTACATTTCTCAACGGATTTTGACCAAACTTTCACAGAAGCTTTGTCATCAAGTGCCCTGGCGCATATTGTCGGGGTTTTGCGATTAGATAATATTTGACCTAATTATGGCCCTTTGTTTTTTTTCCTTATATAAAAATATATAGTGAACAATTTCTTCTGTGCGCAACTCCTCCTACATTTCTCAACGGATTTGACCAAACTTTCTCAGAAGCTTTGTCATCAAGTGCCCTGACACATATTGCCAGGGTTTTGCAATTGGTATATATTTGACCTAATTATGGCCCTTTGTTTTTTTCCTTATATAGAATATATCGTGAACAATTTCTTCTGTGCGCAACTCCTCCTACATTTCTCAACGGATTTTGACCAAACTTTCTTAGAAGCTTTGTTATCAAGTGCCTGGCACATATTGTCGGGGTTTTGTGATTGGATAATATTTGACCGCATTATGGCCCTTTGTATATTTTTTCCTTATACAGAATATAAAGAGAACAATTTCTTCTGTGCTCAACTCCTCCTACATTTCTCAACGGATTTTGACCAAACTTTCTTAGAAGCTTTGTTATCAAGTGCCTGGCACATATTGTCGGGGGTTTTGTGATTGGATAATATTTGACCGAATTAATGGCCCTTTGTATATTTTTTCCTTATACAGAATATATAGTGAACAATTTCTACAGTGCGCAACTTCTCCTACATTTCTTAATGGATTTTGACCAAACTTTCACAGAAGCTTTGTCATCAAGTGCCTCAGGCGCTCACTAAATTCCCATGTTTTCTTCCAAGACATCATTCAAGTATTTTTTTAAAATTGTGAACATACTTTTCTTGATATCGCACAAAAACACCACACGCCAATATTGTTGACAAAAGAAAATGACAAGAGACGCAAAAATGCAAAAATTAAGCAAAAATAAAGTACTGTTTACCTTTCTAAAACATTTGGGAAAAAAAGGCGAATAGACAACATAAAATTTCTCAATCATTTTTGTTTGAGGAATATTAAAAAAGCCATAATTCCTCCTAAAAGTTCAATTAAAAACAAATGCCCCTTCATGACAAAGCTTCTGTGAAATATTTTGCTGAAAACCTGGTTGCATCGCATTGCGATGTTCCTTGTGTCTTCCGTAGATTAAAAAATCGTGAAATTTGTCCATTTCAAAGTAACAATATAATGTCGAAAATACAAAGTTTATATATTAAATATGTCTTATTAACACCGTCTTCTTATAAATATATATATATTGTTTATTTTAGGAATAGAATAAAATCAAATACTAACATTTACCGGTGATCTTGGTTTGCTGTTTATTTCCAAAAATATTTAACATAAAATCGTTGTTATATTTTACTATGGCACTTATTGTGAAAGTAAAAAGGCATAAATGATAAAAGTAAATGTAAAATACACAAAACAAACTTACCTTTGCCATTCAAACGCTATTGTTGATGAAAAATGATTTGTTTTTCGACGGAAGTTTCACGAAATCATATGACAAGTTTTCAATGACGCGCCTGCCTACGTAAAATTGTTACGTCATAGGAAAAAAATTGCGTGTATGGTGTACAGTACGGGTCTTAAGATATAAAGTTAAAATTCGTGAACTTTGAACGCTTGTAAAAAAAGTTGTGCACAGAGTTATATGTGCAACTTTTTTTCTGACATATATATATACCAGACCTATTCAATGAACAAAGATTCAAAACTTTTGCAATTAGTTCTGGGTCATATTTTATTTTTACTAGACTACTTGTCCAGAGCATAACTTCAATAAAACTTCATCAATGGCCAACCACATTGAAAGGAAATGCAACATACAAGAACCACAACTATATTTAATTTTACACAACCATTACTCTATATTTCAATTCTTTTACAAGGTATTTTGTTACTAGTAACATCCTCATTTCCTAGGTATTAATCACATTTAGTGATAGTTCTAGTTTTTTTGGCTATTATTAGCTGTAACCTTGTTATTTTTGAATGGATTGTCTTCAAACTTTAACATAATAATCTTCAAGGATAACCCTTAGAAATAACCAGACAGACCTTGACCTTCACTCATTAATGACCTTGACTTTGTCTGTAACTGGTTGTAACTTTCCTATTATTGAAGGGATCAACTTCATATTATAACAGAACATATCATGTGACTCCACCACGTGACACCACCACATGACTTCATCACGTGCCTCCACCACGTGACACCACCATGTCACTCCACCACATGACCTGCACACGTGACATCACCACGTGACTCCACTACATGACACCACCACGTGACTTCGCCACATGACTTCACCACTTGACTCCACCATGTGACTCCACCACGTGATTCCACCACGTGACACCACCACCTGACTTCATCATGTGACTCCACTAGGTAAGTCCACCATGTGACACCACCACATGACTCCACCATGTGACACCACCACGTGAAACCACCACATGACTTCCTCACGTGACTCCACCAGGTGAGTCCACCACGTGACTTCGACATGTGACTCTACCACTTGACTTTGCCATGTGACTGACTTCGCCACATGACACCACCACGTGACACCACCATATTACTTCACCACGTGACCCTACCATGTGACTCGCCACGTGCTCCACCACATGACTCCAACACCATTGACACCACCACGTGAAACCACCACTTGTCTTCATCAGGTGACTCCACCACGTGACTTGGCCACATGACTCCACCATATGACTTTGCCATGTGACTGACTTCGCCACATGACACCACCACGTGACTTCATTACGTGACTCCACCACGAGACTCCACCATGTGACACTACCACATGACTCTACCTCGTGACTCTACCAAGTGGCTTTACCACATGACTCCACCACATGACTTTACCACCACATGACACCACCACATGACACCACCACATGACACAACCATGTGGCTTCACCACATGACTCTACTAGGTGACTTCACCACGTGACACCACCACGTGACACCACCATGTGACACCACCATGTGACACCACCATGTGACACCACCACGTGACACCACCACGTGACACCAAGTGTCAACCACGTGACATTACCACGTGTCACCATGTGACTCCACCATGTGTATCTATTTATAGAATTTTCTATTTATTGAATTGCGTGTTTCTATTTAAAATATAGAGACAAAACTAATGTGACAAGACAGACCGATTAATTTTATAAAAAGGAAACGTTAAGATTTTGTTTAAACATTTCTTTGTTTGCTTTTAGATAAAGTAAAAAAAGTCGAGCGTTGCCCCAGCCTGGCGGTGGCTCTTGTTATCTGTTTTTGTTAAATTTAGACATCAATACAAACTATGTCCCTGATTTTGTAGTTGAAGTTAGCTAGTTAATTAATAGCTTTCAAATTTTAATTAATTTCAGATACAGTTAAAGTAAGACAGCAAGATTGAGCTACTCCTGTACAGAACTTGAGTTACATGTGTTCAGCGTAAAACTGTTTTGAAAGGTTCGTGCTTTTTATTTCTTACTTAAACGTTTTTATAAGGATCATTTATATAGTTTCTAAAAAATTGGTATTAACTTTTAACTTCTTTATAATTCTAATTGAAGGTCTGTCAATGAAATATTCATCTAAATAAAATTACAAAAAGCTAACAGTATATTGTCAGAAGGTACTGATGTACAGTAAACTGGCAGCATTATAAGACAAGTCTCTCTTGTCATTCCAATCCAAAAAACTGTATTTTTTTTTTCATTTAAGCTGTAATGAGTGATAATTAGAGACCAAACTAAAATGAGTTTTTCACACAAATTTTATTTGCTCAAAAAATTTTAAGAATTTTTTTTGAGCTTTTGCTACAGTCAGGCTGTCATTGTTGGACCCTTTGTCATTCCGATTACTGTCAAGTTCAAATTTGCTAAAATTAATTATCATTAATTTGTTATTGTGCCCCCACTTTAGTGGCGGGCATTTAGATTTACCCTGGTCCGTCTGCCTTCCGTCCATCCATTCTCTTGTGTCGCACATAGCTCGAAAAGTGTTTGACCTAGAGTCATGAAACTTAATAGGAATGTTTATCAGCATGTGTAGTTGTCCACCTGGGTATTTTCGTGTGTATTTATAAAGTAATTTTAGAGTTATTGCCCTTGACTTAGTAAAATTTTGCAATTTTTAACTTGTGTTGCATGTAACTCAAAAAAGATTTGACCTAGAGTCGTGAAATTTTACAGGAATGTTGATCAGCATGTTGTGGGTATTTTTGTCTGGATTTATTCAGTATTTTTAGAGTTATTGCCCTTGACTTAAGAAAAATTTGCAAATTTCAACTTGTGTCGCACCGCACGTAACTCAAAAAGTGTTTGGCCTAGAGTCATGAAACTTTATAGGAATGTTGATCAGCATGTGTAGTTGTGCACCTGGGTATTTTCGTCTGGATTTATGTAGTATTTTTATAGTTATTGCCCTTGACTTAGTAAAAATATGCAATTTTCAACTTGTGTTGCAAGTAACTCAAAAAGTATTTGACCTAGAGTCATGAAACTTTACAAGAATGTTGATCAGCATGTGAAGATGTGCACCTGGGTATTTTCGTCTGGATTTATAAAGTATTTTAGAGTTATTGCCCTTGACTTAGTAAAATTTTGCAATTTTCAACTTGTGTCGCATGTAACTCAAAAAGGATTTGACATGGAATCATGAAACTTTACAGGAATGTTTATCTGCATATGAAGTTATGCACCTGGGTATTTTTGTCTGGTATTATTTAGTACTTTTAGAGTTATTGCCCTTGACATAGATTTTTTTTGCAATTTTCAACTTGTGTCGCATGTAACTCAAAATAGATTAGACATAGAGTCATTAAACCTTTAAGAAGGTTGCTCAGCATATGCAGTTGTGCACCTTGGGTTTTGCTTGTGAATTTATCCAGTCTTTGTAGAGTTATTTCCCATGACTTAGTAAAAATTGTTTCATTATGTTGTGTTATTTGTTCCTTGAGTGCTTGAGTTAAAATCAACAAACTTTATAGGAATAATGATCAACATCACTAAATTACCGGAATAATGATCAACATCTCTTTGAAGCTATGCACCTTGATTTTTTTCCAGTTTTGTTAGAGTTATTGCCCTTGACTTTTAATAGTATAAATTTGCAATTTTCAACTTGTTTATGCTTAACTCAAAAAGTATTTGACTTGTAGGCCTGAAAGTTTACAAGAATGTTGGTCAGCATGTGTACTTATGCACCTTGGGGTTTGCTTGTGGATTTATTCAGTATTTGTAAAGTTCTTGCCCTTTACTTAGTAAAAGATTTTTAGTTTTCAACTTGTGGCACATGAAGTCCAAAAAATAATTGACCTAGAGTCATAAGATTGACAAAACAGTGGCATGTTGGGGCACTTGTGTCCTATGTACACATTTCTAGTTTAGTTACAGAGTTTTGTGTCTCCTCTACGGAGTAGTGGCGACATATAGGGATCACTTCTCTGTCGTCTGTCTGTCAGTCACAAAGCTTGTCCGGACTACACCTCATAAACTACTTGTGCAATTTCATCCAAACTTTACAGGAATGATCAGTACCAAGTCTAGTTGTGCATATTGTCAGCATTTTCCGGTTCAATGATTTTTGTCAGAGTTATGGCCCTTTAATAATTTTTATTTTCAAAGTTTGTCTGGACTACTTCTCTTATACCACTAATGCAATTTCAATGAAACTTTACAGGATTGATCTGTAGCTCAAGTCCTTGCACATATTGCACAGGTTTTCCGGTTGAATGATTTTTGGCCGAGTTATGGCCCTTTGATAAAAAGGTGTTTTTTTCTGTGTGTTGCCAGATACACAAAAGCTTGTCCGGACTACTCCTCATAAACTACTTGTGCAATTTCATCCAAACTTTACAGGAATGATCAGTACCAAGTCTAGTTGTGCATATTGTCAGCATTTTCCGGTTCAATGATTTTTGTCAGAGTTATGGCCCTTCAATAATTTTTATTTTCAAAGTTTGTCCGGACTACTTATCTTATACCACTAATGCAATTTCAATGAAACTTTACAGGATTGATCTGTAGCTCAAGTCCTTGCGCATATTGCACGGGTTTTCCAGTTGAATGATTTTTAGCCGAGTTATGGCCCTTTGATAAAAAGGTGTTTTTTTTCTGTGTGTTGCCAGATACACAAAAGCTTGTCCGGACTTCTCCTCATAAATTACTTGTGCAATTTCATCCAAACTTTACAGGAATGATCAGTACCAAGTCTAGTTGTGCATATTGTCAGCATTTTCCGGTTCAATGATTTTTGTCAGAGTTATGGCCCTTTAATAATTTTTATTTTTAAAGTTTGTCCGGACTACTTCTCTTATACCACTAATGCAATTTCAATGAAACTTTACAGGATTGATCTGTAGCTCAAGTCCTTGCGCATATTGCACATGTTTTCCGGTTGAATGATTTTTGGCTGAGTTATGGCCCTTTGATAAAAAGGTGTTTTTTTCTGTGTGTTGCCAGATACACAAAAGCTTGTCCGGACTACTCCTCAAACGACTGGTGCAATTTCATCCAAACTTTACAGGAATGATCAGTACCAAGTCTAGTTCTGCACTGTCTGTCCGTCTGTCACAAAACTTGTCCCAACATGAAATTGGCCATCATGAGGCGACACATGTGATCACTGATCGCTCTTGTGTTCATTATTGAACAAATTAAAAAATTTACATGATGGCCTTGTCCTTGACTATTATAGTAAAAGATGTAAATTTAGAAAAAGTCGAGTGTGGTCGCTGCTTGTTGGTGGCTACAGGCCTCGATGAATTTTTCTAGGCTCACTTGCCCTACTGGGAAAGTGACCCTTGAAATTTACTCGCCCTGCATTTTGACGGACAAAATTTGTAAAAATCAAACGTAAGACTCAAATTTACTATCCACCAGTCTATATTGATATAATCACCTTTATCCATTTGCTTATTCATTCTTTTGATAGATCTATAATTTTAACCCTTTTGCTGCCGGAGGAATATTTTTTTATTGATCACCTATTCGCCAGAAGGTTTTCTAAAAAAAAATTTTATTAATAATTTATATAATTATTATTATTTGTTATTAGTATTATAATAATTATACCCAAGTACAAAATTTAGGAAGGGGGGGGGGGGTATAATGGATTTGCTTTGTCGCGTCTGTCGGTCTGTTCCTATACCAATTGAAGGATTTTCTACAATCATATCAAACAATCAAATATAAGACAGTATGTCTTGTCCGCTCTGTAAGTCCTACACTAATTGAAAGATTTTCTTCAAACATGGCTCAAATGTTCACCTCAACAAGGGGATGTGCAGAACCCATGTTGCCCATGTGTCAGCTCAAGGTCAGGGTCACAATTGAAGGTCAAGTATCAAACAATCAAATATTAGACAGTATTGTTGTGTCAGCTCTGTAAGTCCTACACTAATTGAAAGATTTTCTTCAATCTTGGCTCAGATGTTCACCTCAACAAGGGAATGTGCAGAACTCATGTTGCCCATGTGTCAGCTTAAGGTCAAGGTCAAAATTGAAGGTCAAATATCAAACAATAAAATATTAGACAGTATGTCGTGTCCGCTTTGTAAGTCCTACACTAATTGAAAGATTTTCTTCAATCTTGGCTCAAATGTTCACTTCAACAAGGTCATGTGCAGAACCCATGTTACCCTGGTTTAAGGTCAAGGTCACACTTGAAGGTCAAAATTGACTTAGAAAATATTCTTAAATTTTAACATGTATTTGAATATTTCTGAAACTCAGAAATGTATTTGCTTGAAACTTAAAATATATATGAAGTGTCACAATTTAAAAAAGCAGGTCAATTTTCATAACTCTATAATGCATTATAACAAAGGTATGCCCCTTTTTAAGTCTTCAAATTTACATACAATCAAATATTAGACAATATGTTGTGTCTGCTCTATAAATCATATATTTATGGAAGAATTTTCTTCAAACTTTACTCAAATGTTCACCTCAATAAGGTTATGTGAAGAATCTATGTTACCTTTGTGCTGGCTTAAGGTCAAGGTCACACTTGAAGGTCAAAAATTGACTTAGAAAATGTTCTTAAATTTTAACATGTACCAACTAGCACAGGTATTTGCTTGAATTTAAAGATATATGAGGTGTCACAAATAAGATATGCAGGTCAAGTTTCATAACTCTGTATTGCATTTTGACAAAGTTTTGCCCTTTTTTTAGTCTTTAAATTTACATACAATCAATACTAGACAATATGTCGTGTCCGCTCTATAAATTCTATACTTATGGAAGGATTTTCTTCAAACTTTACTCAAATGTTCATCCCAACTGGGCAATGTGCATAACCCATCTAACCCTTGTGCCAGCTTCAAGGCCACACTTGAAGGTTGAAGTTGTCTTTTGTCAAGGACATTGGTGGGGGTATGAATCGCATTCAGCAATAGTTCTAGTTATATATGTTTCCAAGTCTGCTAGTATATAATAATTATTGTCGATATATAATTATCTATATATTTATTATAATTATTATAATTATTATTATTATTATAGAAACAGCAAAAGCTGTCCATATGGCAAATACGCCGAAAATAATAGGGATGGCATATGCCGTCCCTCATAATGGCAGTGAAAGGGTTAATCTTCAACATAACCGAAAACTTATTTAACAGGTGCACACTCGCCTCTTGGCCAAGTATAAAACATTGTCGAATGCTAATGTTGTTAATGAATTGATTCATTATAAATGTTTTATACCTAGTCATAAGGTCAATTTTTGGTTTTCATTTGACAGTATTATGATTGAAATAGCGTCTGCAGTT